TCCATCTTCAGAACTCTGAAAGGAAGAAAGCAGCAACACATTCAAATGAGACCCAAGGATCTACTGTATGATTGAGATACTAGTGTCCCCAGTGCTAGGAAACCATAATTCCTATCACCAGATACATAGATAATCAAAAAACCAAACACTCTCATAGAGTCAGTTCAGGTTCCCACTGTGTTTCCACGTTTGTGAATCGAAGCAGACCGCCTCATCTTTCTTCTGCGGAGTGGCCGGTAAATTCAAACCAATGACATTTTCGTGAATAACCAAATGCCTTAATACATAGATAGGTAGACGGATGGATAAATAGCTAGACATTTAGATGTATAAAAAGCCACATATATTTTTCTCCATTTACCTAATTAGCCTCCCTTTCTTATATTTGATCTCATTCCTTCCTATGCCCTATAAAAGAAGTGTAAGATTCTTAGTAGGTTTTGAGTAGGTTTTTCAACACATGGTGAGGTTTCACATGCTCATCTTGCTTACTAGGTACAACACCCCGCCTGCAAGCATAATCATGCATTTATTCCCAAAATGCACTCTGAACTGGAAAGTAGATACATCTTCTTACATCTTACATGTTTTCAAATCTATCCCAGTTCAGGGGAACTTATTCATTCTATGAAAGATACTCAATACCAATCATCAAAAACATGTTTTAACTGAACTATATGACTTTCTAAACCTTTTCATCCCTCCAGGTTTAACAAGTATAACAACTCTCAAATGCCAAACTGAGATTGTATAATTTCTAGAAAGAATTTGAGAAAGTATTATTGTATCCAATAGCTATCCAGTACTAACCATTTTTAGGAATACATTAATTTCACTTTTATGTTCCACAAAAGTTGATATGACTTGTGCACAAGACTATAAGTAAAATAGATTATGATTCATTATTTCATTCATTTAAGAAAAAAAAAAATCTTTCTGTGTGCTATAAACCATTGTAGACAATAACAGATGAAGAAGGCAGACATTATCTTGCCTACTTAGGGTTCACCTTCTCGTAAGGAAGAAAGGCAAGTAAACATCCAAAGAGTGTACTATAAGACTTGGAGTGGCCAAGCCATTTGAAAATCCAAGCCAAGCAATGGCAGCAGGTTGTAGGTGGGCTGGTACCAGGAAGGCCTGCCCAAACAAGGCATAACGATCATCAACCTGGTGAAGCGAGGAATGAAAAATGCCAGTGTTTGAAGGAAGACTCATGTCTACAACCTTTCCTGTTGAGGATCATGAAATTGGAACTAGCTTGACTTGTATGAAAAAGGCCTTGAGTTTTCCAAACAACCTAACGATACTTTAGCTCAACTAGGAAGAATGACTGCCTTGACCACTGCCCTCTTTTAAGGTCCATCTGGGTGAGATTAGACGGACAACAGCTACTCCAAAGATGAGACACAAACCTTAGGAAGCAGGGGACTTATGTTGATGGGGGAGGGGTAACTCAGAAAAGGTGGGTGACAATGGTTGTCTGACAGGAAGAATGTGATCGGTGTCACTGAATCCTAGAGATCATTGAATTGGTGTAGATTTGGCTGTTTCTATTAAAAACAACACCGACAAATAAATTATATTAAAAAAAGTTATATAAAAATTATATTAAAAAAAAATGTTCCTGAGTAAAATAAGTGAATTTTAGAATGGAAGTGGGGAAATTGCAAAAATAAGCAGGAGCCATGTAATAGTTGAGCTCGTGAGTCAGAGCAGAAAGTTGGTTTTATTAGACACATTCTGGGAAGCCATTGGCTCTCTCAGCGCTGAAAATGAAAGGCATCTTGGTGTCCCAACAGAAAGACATTCTTCTTAGCAATTGATGCGTGTTATTTATTGAGACCATACGTTTTGTCAGGTACTGATTGTGTTGATAGTTTTACACAGCTTAATACTTATTCTTCGCAACAGTCATGTGAATTAGGTCAAGGGGACCTCATTTTCTATATTACATATTGCAGCTGTGAATGATTAGGCAGTCTGACAAACTTCAAACAGTTATAGGGAGTAAAAGAAAACTAGTTCAACGTGAAATCTGTGGGGTTGAATCACGTTTGCTGAGTGGACTTACTATTCCTGTAATATTTTCTGATTCCCACCAGTTGGCCCCTGGCTGATGCTGACTCATGGTAAGCCCGTGTGTTGCAGAGTGTAACAGCTCCTGAGGGTTTTCTCGGCTGTGACTTTGTAGAAGCAGATCACCAGGTGTTTTTCTCAAGGCACCGCTGGGCAGATTCAAACCCCAACCTTTCAGTTACTAGCTGAGTGCTTAACCATTTGCACTCCTCTGCACCCCTGATTTCTGGAAAGGACTAAATATGTTCATATTTCAACATTCAGTAACTTAAGATTTATATGTAAACCTGTGGACCAGCTAACTGTGATATTTAAGTACTGAAGGTATTAATGTGAAGGTGTGCTATTTTCATAAATATCTACATTCATTTAGCCTTTATTAGATTCTGCAAAAAATAGATCTTTAATACAACACCATTAGCTATTAGAAAACAGCTAATTGTATTCCTGAAACACCTATGTGACTAGAAAAAAGATGAACTGGTTATTAGGTATTACCAAGTATAATTCTGGAGAAATTACAACTTCTTTACTAGAATTAGAAAATATTTTTGATATGGTTTTAAAGCACACTTTCTGGTTAGCAAATAGATATGCAACCATTTATGCTCTTTTCCCCTGCATCACATGATTATTAACTCAAATATTAACTAAACCAGACTCCCTTTGATGTATCCAGTTAGCACCACTGGACACAAACATGAAAAACATTGGGGCAGATATTGGATCAATACACATTTTGTATAACTTGTTCATCCAAGTTTGCAAGTTGGTTATAAGGTTCTCATCCATGGGAAATTCTACTGTGATGTCCTCCAATAAAAAAAAAAAAAAAAAAAAAAACTCACTGCCGTCAA